GAGAGAGAGAGAGAGAGAGAGAGAGAGAGAGAGGAGATGGGGCATGAATCATAGAAGGAAGGTGTTAGGAAGTTGTTTTGGGCTGGAAATTACATAGATAGATTGATTGCAGTCGTTCTAACCGATTATTGGAGTGAGACATTTTCAAAAACAAAGTTGTCTTATTATATATATATACACACACATACTAGCATAATATTTGCACTATGCATAATTTTTAATAAATACATAAAAATACAAAAAAAATGTATTGAATTATTGTATTTTTTTTTGTTTTTTTGGTATTTAGTGAATTTTTAAAAGATTTTTTTTACAATTTTTTTACTTTTTAGGTGTATTTATGTTAGGTGTGTCTAAAAAGTAAAAAAATTGCTTAAAATATTTTAAAAATTCAGTAAAAACAAAAAAATACGAAAAATAAGAAAGTAAAATTTTCTGAAAAGTATTTTTTGAAAAGTAAAAACAAGTAAGGTGAAATTTCAAGCCCACCAAATATATTCATATAATAGATAAAACAAACAAATAAATAAATGTTATAAAATTAAATATCAATAACTTTTTTTTTGTAATAATAATAACAGCAACGTTATATTTTAGTTGGCACAAACATACGCATTAATGTAAACACTTTGGTTGACTCCGTGATTCTAGGTATTCAATCAGGAAAAAAAAAAAAAAAAACCTAGTTTTTTAGTTTTTATACTAACCAGATGTGTACATACCAATATGTATACATGAAATAGTTTAAATAATATATGAACAAAAAAAGAAATAATTTAAATAATATATTAATGATGGGATTGGGCTTACCGGGCTGAATTGAATTTCCAAATGTCTGTTCAATAAATGGGCCTAATTTTTGGTTCAATATGAGCAACTCCCATGGTCAGGCCGAAATGCTTACCAAAATTAAAAAATGTATAGAACTTACAAAATCCCGCTCCAACGGTTGTTAGAAAATAGCAATATCAAATTTAGCTCAAATTTTTTTTGTCACGTCAGATTTTTTGCTATCAACTAAACTATTTTTCCCTAATAGAGTTCACTACCTCCACAAATCAAAAATCACAATAGAAGATTCTAAAACTATAGAAAATTCTACAAATTATAAAAAATAAAAATATTATAAATTATAATTACAAAAGTTAGATTACACTAATACCATAATATATCCATCTTCAAAAAATAAGAAATCAAAAACTTGATAATCATCTAGATCAATGAGAGGGAAAGGATTTGGTTGATCTGAGGTGGAACATACAGAAATTAGTTGGATAATGGTGATATGGAACTTGATTGGGCCAAAATGGCAAGTTAACATTAATGTGGTATAGCCGAAATGTGACTTTTTTACACTGTAGCCAGCCCAAAAAAAAAAATAGATTGGATGGACAAAAATTGGAGCTGGTAAATTTAGGTTGTACTTCCAATATATGAAGGATAGTGATCTCCTAGAATGGGTTGAATCATTAACCATGATAATTGATAAGAAGGGTGATATAAATATATATAGTTATAACTAATACCACAACAAGTTATAATTAAATACTGTAAATGTCATAACTGTGACATATAATACACATCCCAACATTTGGTGTATATTATAGAATTTCCCATTACATATATAAAAGAAACTAGTGTAGTCCGTGTTATGTACGGGATTTTATAAATTAAAAAAACAAATCATTATAAATATGTTAAAGTAATTTAATATTTTATCTTGTGATATACATGAAATTTATAAGTTATATTTTATGTTTATAACTTTTTAAATTATTAGTGTAAAAAATTTAAAAATATATATATAAATCTATTTAGTGCAATTTTGATAATTTGTAATTAAAAAAAAAAGAAGTTAAACCTAATTAAATGAGGTTACATTAGTTATTATATACCTCTTCTTGTTATGAAAATATACAAATTTAAAAATTATAATTAAGAAAAATATACAATTTTATTATTAAATGTGAAGTAAAGTGATATTTAATAATAATTGATATGATATTTATGTTATTAATCCAATAATTTAAGCTACATTTCTTTTGTTTTAATTTCATAACTAAAAATACAATATTAATATAATACGCACACAGATTTCTTGTCTTTAAGAATAAGAAGGTTTTAGAATATTTTTAACTATTCATCAGTTTCTTTTTTTTTTTTTGGTCTAATTTGATTTTAATTGAATAAAAAAATTGATTTGATATGAATTATTTTAAATTTTTCATTAAATTTTTATCAATTTTTAAAAGAATTTTCATTCTTATCCCATTTTTTTTTCTTTTCATCCATTTTGATGAAAAAAACAATAAATTCCAATGCTTCATCTTTTTAAATTTTTATTAAATTATAATTCGATAAAAAAATATTAAGGGTTGAAGATCCTATCATTATATTTTTTTTGAAATAATTTAATATTTTATCTTGTGATATACATAAAATTTATAAGTTAACTTTTATGCTTATAAC